CAAATTTATCGCGAACTTGAGGGAATTCTGTTGAGTCTGTTTTGAAAATGTATCTGAGCAGGATCTCAGTGGTTAGATCATATACCTATTTCAGTTTTTAAACTTACGAATAATTCAATTTATTTGATTGTTTGTTTAAACTGCCCTTTTATTCATATTACCTAAGATGATTTTGAGCTTTCTTCCCTTCCAGAACATTTCCTTCCATATGCGAATGAGAACATCTACGCGCAGAGGGCGTGCCTTGTTGACAACGAGGAGTTACGAACTATCCACGTTACCGCAACTAAGAAGTCAGTTACACTCTGAGCTGTAATAGTAGTGAAATCTATTATTTTATCCGTTTTTTAAGGTGGGAAGTTGAGCGGCAATGCCTTCAACTTCCCACCTTAAAAACGCATAAAATAATAGATTTCACTACTATTACAGCTCAGAGTGTAACTGACTTCTTAGTTGCGGTAACGTGGATAGTTCGTAACTCCTCGTTGTCAACAAGGCACGCCCTCTGCGCGTAGATGTTCTCATTCGCATATGGAAGGAAATGTTCTGGAAGGGAAGAAAGCTCAAATCATCTTTGAGGTAATATGAATAAAAGGGCAGTTTAAACAAACAATCAAATAAATTGAATTATTCGTAAGTTTAAAAACTGAAATAGTATATGATCTGACCACTGAGATTCTGCTCACATACATTTTCAAAACGGACTCAACAAAATCTCTCAAGTTCGCGATAAATTTGTGAGCAACAAAATGAGGTTCCGAATCAATTCCATAGATCACTCTACTGTAAAGTGCCGGAAAGAACCACTTTCTTCCATAAAATCCACACGTATATCAATGGACCCCGCGTAGCACATATCCCAGTATAAAAATTTCTAGAAAAAGAGTGTAGCGCGCGAAACCGTAGATACATAATGATTTCTCAACCGAATACTCGTAGCAAAATATCAAATGGAATAGTTTCTTAAAAATACAGATGAATCCTCGTTATGATCATACTGTTAGTAACACAGAATAAATACTTGGCAGGAAGGAAGCTTACGTCTTAAGTAATCGATAATATCGGCACTGCTTTCGCCTTCCATTTGCCGTTGGGCTATAATAGATTTGATGATTGGTGGAAGTCGCATTCGGATGTCGTGTCCATAGTGATCTCCACACATCTCGATAGATACACGGCTAAAAAAGACAAAACAAACTTCTGGTAATTGTACATTATAGAGTGTGAAATTCCAGTTTAGAACAGGGGGGCGGGGGACGACTTTTAGTAAACTCTCGATCTTGCAATTCGCATTACAGGAAGAGAACCTCAAACCCGCTTCACCTTCCACACTTCCCTGTTTGAAAAAAGCTTCTCAAAGAAAACACAAGAATTTAACCAGAGAAAAGCAGGTTTTTTTGAAGAAAACGGTCCTTTAACCCCGAAACCATTACAACAGAGAGCACCCCACCCCACGCCTTCCCCGCTAATTGATAGAGGAGTTTATTGTTGGAGCCGTGCAAGTCACTATCCGGCAATATGGGTTGAAGTTATACGAGAAGAACACTAATCAGCAACTGACTTTCCTAACTTACGAAATTCTCAAATGAACAGAAAACCGAGATTTTATTCTCAATTTTGATAAAGAACGAATGGAAGGGAATGATATCAATTCGAGAAGCCTTACCCGTCAGCATGCTGAGTTCCATGAATGTACGCCGTGCACGTATGACCCATACGATATGGTCCAATGCGATCACGATCGCTACCTGTTGCATTATTCGAATTCACAAACCCACTCCTAGAGAGATTACGATGAAGAAACAAAAAATAAGAAGCGTTCAATTCAACCCACCTATTGCATGCCATGAAGATACCCTTTCCACGCTGGCGCCTCTTTGAGCCAGACTTATGTCGAAAATGTGCGCCTCCTTTCAATTCTAGCCAACGAACAAAACGCTGAAGAATTATACATAGATATGATCGCCAAAAACCCACATAGAACAACGAAAACCTTCAAAAATCATAAGACCTGCGATTTCAGGTGAAACTCACTTTGAACTCATCCATACTAGCGAACGTTAACTCATGAATCTGAGGATGCACGTCGTGTTCTATGCTCAAATGTTCGTGGAAAGCTGTCCGAGTAACAAATTCCATGTAGCACACACCACAACAGTAGTACCTCTTTCTAGTAGTGTCTCCAAAACTTTCATCCTTAGAATTTCCAGGACGGCACTGTAAAATAATAGTTAGGCAACATTATAACGGAAACGCTAACTATTGTTTCAAAAATATTTCTCAGATCGTCAAAGTGGTGCCATGTTGTGCGTCGATTGAATCAAAATCAACTTTGGATAACCTCACACGCTTTAGTGCTGAATGGTACGAAGAAGCAATTGAAAGTCAGACAAGCCAATTCCTCCGTAGTATTCTTTCTTCCTCGTAGTACGAAACACAGGCAAGGGGATGGAATCGGAGAGAATGAAATTCGCTCATGCACCCCGAAGTATCTCCTCTCAGAGGCCTAGTCCTTGATAATAATAAAAGAATGCTAGTCAAGGTTTAGGTAGCATGAGCACTGTGCACCGTAACCCAACCCACTCCCCTCCTTAACTGAAAAAGCGCCCTATGTCATCCAATAATGGGCCTACCGCTCTCAGTCCGCAGAAAGGCCACAACACATTATGTGGTGTTTCTCGAAGAAAGTGGGTGCACTGCCCTCGGTTAAGGATTACACCTCGCAACAAAACCTCTAGAACGCATTTATGATTATTGTTCACGATACTAAAAAATTACGCCGTTGGTCCGATGATAGTCTATTGTCCTCAGTGCGATCAGCTTCCCGCAGCCATATGGACATCGATTCCTTATCCCGGCCGTTGGATGCCGACGTGGTGCAGTTTCAAGAACAACAGATTCACGCTGAAGATAATATTTCTGACTTGCATACGGCTAACAATGAAATCTAATAAAAAGAAAAGAATAAGATGATTTACTTTGCATAGTCAGACCACTGCAGGAGGAAATCCCGTTGAACCTGCGGTTCTAGCCCTACTTCCCTTACCTATGGCTAACGATCGTTTTTCCCCGAACACCTTTCAATGAACCTTAGCATCGCTCTCACAATGACAACACAATTTGAAGCTCAAGGAGAGAGAGGTATTCTTTTATGCTACCGGCCTGATTCCCTTTCTGAATGGCCCACTCACGCTCAGTTTAGGACCAAGCTTTAGAGGATAAGAGGGAATACGATGTGCGCGTGAACATAGTTGAGAGGTCGCCTGATACGCACGTAACACACATTGAGCGAAAGGCCAGCGAAGTAGATATGAGTTAGATGAAGGCCCGAAACACCCCGACCATAAGATGCGGTCCCACTTGTGAGCTCGGGGAAGACCTCTATGAAAAGCGGCTTCTATCTGACTTCGACTTAGCAGCTTTCGCAATACACACTATACTCGTGCGCGCAACGGAATCGTAAATTTGGCGCAGCTTTCAACAGCCCATCGTGTATCGACTAGACCCATATCGAGGAAACGACCGAGAATAAATGTATGTCACACTGAGCTTATTTCGGCGTCCCGCCTTCAAAAAGTGAAAAGTTATTACTTATAGATGCATCTGCATTGGTGAAGAATAGGGGACATCATAAACTCGTTCTCTTGTGTGACTGCTGAACATTCCTGCAAGAGGTCTCTTATATCTCCTTGTTTGCATTCTAAAAGCAGCAGAGGCACAGTTCATGAGACACAGTTCATGAAGGATGCCTTGCCCAATAGGTGAAATTAAGGTTGACGTCACACTTATCAAGGAGGTCACATCCTACATTTATCACGGGCCTTCTACATACATATAAGCATGGACAACAATAACATGAACGAAGAGCTAGGAAAACGACAGAGAACAACGTAGACAACCTTCGGACCTCCGAAAAAGGACATCAACGGTACCCCCGTTAACGGACTACTTGATTGTTTTGCCTGCAATGGGTCCTTGCCGCGATGGCTAAGTAGCAGACTGGAGTTAAGACAGTGCCGACCTGAGGACTACACAATACACGTACATCATCCACTGTTTATAACCCTGATAGGACCTTCACTAGGGCGAATGCATATCAGTGATCGAGGGATTCACACACGAGAATTGAAACCTATTTCACAGACAGGGGCTACTGGTGCTCATGTTACCGCCAACCGCCCGTGTCTGAGCGGAGAGCTGCATCTATCTAGCGTCATAAGCGATCCCTCCCAAGTCGTTTGACTTGGAGGCCGCGCTCTGGAATGATGCCTCTTCTGCCAGGGCCAGTCGCCCCTCTCTAGGAATATCGACGTGCACCCTGCCACGCAAGGCACTTGCGAGCGAGCTCTAGGCCTATCACCGCACGAAACATGTCCCCGTCCGCGACCTGAGCGACAAAACGCCAACACCGCACAAGAATCGTTGTTCAAAAGAAGATGCAGCACTCATAAAACACGCTAGCATAAGTAATTGAATATAGCTAGCGAATTTTTTTGAACTCTATGTAATTTCCTGCGTTACATAAATTCGATCATAATGAAGCGCGTATATCGAGATCGTTAACTCTAAGTAACAGACACGGAGAAAAAGAGAGCGAGAGCTAAAAAAAGTCCAGCTAAAAAGTCACAACATCGAGAAAATAACACACGAAAAGTCTGAAACTGACCTTGACATCGACCAATTCATAGCCTCCGACGTCAACTTCCTCGATCGCACCGATATCCTCAAGTTGCCGTGCAGCCATTGCGTTCTTTGGCTATGCGGCTCGTTGCAATTTTCTGTGAAAACTGCGCCCCAACAACGTGACCTGTGCGTTCCGGTGAAACTCGTCCATCGGATGCCGCGCGCGAGCCTCAGCTCGTACCCTTGTCATTTGCATGCGCTAAGGCACGTCTTCGATCAATTAAATTTACGCAGCGTGGCGAATGTATTGCGAACCCAATGTTCCTAACGAGTCCTCGCCGCCATTCCTGTCTCCCACTCAGCCTAACGAAAAAATGGAAAAGTATCCCGCGAACAATCCACCCTCCGAAAATTCTCGTTCCTGGCCTGTGTTGATCACGGCATTCTTTGAAAAGCTTGGGTTCGATTTGATCGGTTTCCCATCCTCCTATTTATTTTATGGATCCAATAAGCTGTGAGCATGCAGAAGTAAAAAAGGCTGAAAATTGGTTGCATCTTCCACACAATAAAAGATTGAATGGCTAATAATTTTCTTTTGAGCCTCTAAAAGCCGTTTGAAACATCGGGAATGCTCTAGAGCGGTTTGAACCCATTGTGAATTGAATATGGCGCAGATGGCGTTAATACCGCGCGTCCGCCAAGTCAAGTCCTGCTGTGAGATGCGCCACGAACTCGATTTCTCTAAAGTATCGCATCGGTAATTGAAAGTCGCTAACAGGGGCGCCAGTTTGTTCAGGTAGTAAAAAACACGCTAATGGGGCCCCTTTCCTTTCCGTTGGTCGACTATGGACGCGCTAGCAACTAAGAAAGAGGTTGTTGGGACGAGTATCTCGATAGTCGACTTCGTGATTGGAAAATCATGCTTTTGACAGCACATTATCTAGAGGGACTACAGACACCCCTTGAAGTGGAGTGCTCCTTCAGGATGAAAAACGGACGGTGCTGCCAGTGGCAACACACTGTTGGAGGGAGGTTTGGGGTGTTAGGCAGCGTTCAGAGTTGGCGCGTACATGCGATTAGGCGAGTAAGCGAGTAGGCGACAAGGGAAGGATATTTACCGATTTATTGTTTGTTGCTCCGCCCATTGAGCAATTGCCTAATCGCCAACCCGACTGAAAGTCTTCTCGCCTCCTCGCCTGCTCTCCTATGGTCTGATCGCCTAACCATGTACGATCGCCAACTCTGAACGCTGCCCTACAGAATTCGATTAGAGCCCAACCCCAAGCTCGTCGTCGTAGAAACGACGCCACACTTCGCTTCCACTGCCGTCCGGCTGCCGCTTCCAGTGCTGCAATATGTTCATCGCGGCACTCCTTCTCTGTTGTAACCACTGGTTTTAAATCCCATCAGATGGGTTAGTGCTTGATAACGGACTGGAAGCACGAATATTTGTAATAATTTTGACCGGCTATTCAGCGAGTCAATCAGTTGTTAGAGTCATCATGTATGGGGCAGACAAAGTGTGCATCAGAAAGTTTTCACGCCTTCTAGGGAAAGATTTGGATGAAAGTCTTACTGGGAAATATCCCTGAGGGGTACCTCGATCATGGACCAAGGACAAAAACAACAGACAAACAGCATTGTTCATTTCCTCATCGCCTTTGAAATATGAAGCCACTGCCGAGCCGACAAGCTCAAAGAAACCATTCCCGTTACTTCACTCGCTACATGATTTA